ATCTCATGGGATTTCATAAATATTACAGTTCCACAGAGCCTGCAAGACAGAGCTCTTCCACCGAGCCTTTGGGTGAGACGGCAGACATTCCTTTTCCTTCCTGGCTATCTCCCCTCCAGTGGCCTGCATCTTAATATCAGTACTACTGAAATTAGATCAGAACTAGCTTGTTGCACGGTATTTTATGGTTTTACTGTTTTAATTGCTATTTTAATTGTTGTGTTAATGGTATTATACTGAGATTGTTGTGAAACGCCCTGAGCTCGTCCACAGGGAGGGTGGTATATAAATAAAATCAATAAATAAATGTCCTATTAAGACGTTCTTGCAGCCTCACCACAAGAACCATCTATGCCATTTCTCTCTACACACCAAAGCTCTTTTCGCCATCTATTCTGATCATGTGTATGTGCAGCAGTTGGGACTGGGAGGGCAGGGCAAATTCACAACGTGGGAAAAATAAAGACCAATTATTGCCCTGTCTCTATTCTGCCCTTTCTTGGTGAAGCGGTCGAGAGATAGTTGTGCCTTCCAGGATAACTCATTTGCTCTGGATCCTTTTCAGTCTGGTTTCAGGCCAGGCTATGAACACATGAAGCTGCCTTATACTCCACTAGACCACTGGTCCATCAAAGTTAATACTGACTACTCAGACTGGCAGTGGTTCTCCAGGGTCTCAGGTGAAGGTCTTTCACACCCCCTTGCTTCTAACTGGAGATGCAGGGGACTAAACCAGGGACCTTCTGAAGGCAAAGTGAAGGCTCTTCCAGTGAGTCACACCCCTATGGGATGGCAACAGCCCTGGTGGCTTTAGATGATGTCCCATCTCGATGCAGAGAAGGTCCGTGGCTCTTTGTTCCTCCTACTGGGTTTCTCAGCACCCTTTTGTATGTTGGACCATGCCTTTTCTTTGAGATGTTTGCAGGTGGAAGTAGGTATCAAAGGAGGTGCTTTCCATTGGTTTAAATCCTTCCTTGTGGACGAGACTCAGATGGTTGCTGATCGAGTCCTCGGTGTGGAATTTGTCCTGGGGGGGTCCACAAAGCCTTGGTCCCCACGGTATGTGTAGCCCTTTGGAGAAATCGTTCACGGTCTTAGAGTAGGCGGTCATCAATATGCTGACGACACCAAGCTTTTGTAGTTTCTTAACCGAATATCCCAATGATGCTGTACAGCCACTGCCTGACTGCTGTGATTAAAGAGCTAAAGACACACAAGCTGAAACTGAACCCTGACAAGACAGAGGTGAAACAACCTGAGGTCTCGAAGGACACAGAGCTTCCTGCATCCGATGGGGCTCAGCTGACCCATGCTGACTTGGTTAAGAATCCTAGGTTATAGCAGACGTTAGTGCTGGAGAATCACGTTAATGCAGCTGCAAAACTTGCTTCCTTCCATCTTCATTTAGCCCGAAAGATGGCTCCCTACTTTGACTGTGCTGATGGGGCCACATGGTTCCATGCCACAGTGACTGACTGTTGTAACGAACTCTACATGGGTCTGCCCTTGAAGTCACTCAGAGACTCCAGCTGGTACAGAATGCCACAGATCAGGCAGAGTATACTGAGGCTGCGGTAACACGGAGCATTAACCACGCTACAGAGACGGAAGATAGGCGGATTTTCCGGGCGCGATCACACTGCAACATCTGGGAAGCATCGAGCTCCCGTGGCAAACCCAAGGCTTCCTGCCGAAGATGCGGAGTTAAAAACTAGTACCTCCGAGGTACTAGTTTCCGGAAACCATGGGGCAAGGGCTGGCGTCTGATCACGTTTCCGGTGGTGGCATCTGGCGCCCGCCCATGTCCCTTCGCAAACAGGGTTTTTTCCCCCAAGTCTCCACAAGATGCGCACAAGCACCCAACGGCGCATGCGCACAAAGAGGAAAGCGAAAGTGCCGTTTAGGCTTTAAAAAAAAAATGACCCCGTTTGTCATGGCAGCGGCGCCTAGCCATTGCTGGTGTGATCGCGCCGTGCTGCTTCTTTGCTGCGCTGCAGGATCGTCATGTGATCGCCACCCTCATTTACCCGCCGGTGCGGAGGGACGGACCCATGGTGTGCTGCCGGCGCGTCTGATCGCGTAATCGCGGATCAAACTGCACCGGCGCAATTAGCCACGCCTCCCCCCGCGATATTCGGCCCATGTGACCGGGGCCATATATTAACACCCATTCTGCAGTCACTCCATTGGTTACCTATTGCTAACCAAGTTCTATTCAAGATACCAAGTTCTTCTATTCAAGATACTAGATATCTTCAAGGCCTGAGGCCCTCCTATCTTCAGGACATTGGCCTCTGCTGAATTCTCCTTTGAGCAGTTTCAGCCCAACTTCCCAGATCATTTTGATTTTGTTTTGTCTTCTGGTGTTAACTACACATCCCTCTGGGTTTACGTCACCTCCAGATCTGATAAGGACTCTCCCCATCCCTTCATCCAAGTAAACAAATAACTTGTGTTGACTTTCCTATTGTCTTGAAGGCACAATAGAAAGTGGATGCTTTGATCTATAAAATCCTTACCCATGTGCGCTCCAAATGCTTCCAGACCACCTACTTTCTTCCTGCAACATTACCACTGTTCAAGTAAAATGGAATACCCTTTTCACTCTACCAACCGGGTGCCAGGTATAAAAATATAAAGAGACATGCCTTCACTGTCTGCCCCACTTAAATAGACTCATCAACCTCAAATACGTTTAAGACCTATATAAATTTCTTCTTTGGTCTAGCTTCAATACCCAAGACCCAAAATAACTGAGCACTTTGTCAAACTTTCTATCCAGCCTCTTCTCAACCACTGAGAGAAGGTAACAGTGGTTAAAAATCTATTGTGCTTGTTGCAAGAGAGTGATTTAAATAAAGCAAGTCTGCTTTTCCTATCTGTTGTTGTTGTTAGTCATTCAGTCCTGTCCGACTTTTGGCGATTCTATGGGCCAGCTCTGTGTTTTCTGATCTTTTTTTTTTTTTAATCCCCAAAGGGATATTTTTGATTGTTTTTATATCGGACTACAAACTACAAAGAAAATATGAGGGAAGGGGACTACATCTAAGGATAAAGGATAGATAACCACACTATACTAAAAACCCAAGAGGAGGAGATCATATCCATGTTATTCTAAGTGTTATTTATAAAAGTGTTAGTACAACAATATATTTGTAGAGTTCTTGCTTGTCACGGCTTCAATGTTAGTATGTTAGTTGTTGTGAGAGAACTTTCTGAGCACTTCTTGTTGTTTGCTTCAAAAGGCAATTTTCGGAGTCCTTCTGCCTTCACTTCGATTTTCTGTCTCTGAAATCATATGTCACTTTCATTGCGCCTGCACCCGTTTCTACAGCAGAGTCCTCATCCATTCCCGAGGTAGCGGAGTCACTTGATTTCGATTCTTCATCTTTAGATTCTTCCTCTGTTCCCAACTGACGTCTCAAGAATTCTTTGGCTTTAAAAATGGAGTCAATCTTTTCTCTTTTGTTGTTGATTTTAAAGATGACACCCTCAGGGATCGCCCACCTGTACGAAGTTCCCTTGGTTTGAAGAAATTAAGCTTTTCCTCTTATGGCGAATTTCAAATGGAATGTCTTTTAAAGTTTTAATATTTGTATTCCCCAGTTTCAGTGGAGTTGCTGAAGTCGCTTTTAATATAGCATCTCTGGTCTGTCTTCTTGATAATCTGACCACAATTTCTCCAGGCAGGCTATTTTTTTTAATATAATTGGAGTATGCCCTATAGGCAGTCTCCATCTCTTTTACTACTTCACCCGCTGTTGAGCCTATTGCTGGAGCGATGATCTCGCGAAGAAGCTTCCTCAGATCCTCCTTTTCCGATTCAGGCACTCCCTGGATTCTTAGAATCATATTGGCTTTTTCCATTTGTAGCTGTAACAAATGATTTTCTTGGAAGTTTTGTTTTGCTTCAACTTCCCCCATTCTTTTCTTCATTTTCTTATTTGTAGTGTGTATCTCTTTAATTCTCTCAGTCACATGTTCCACCTTCTCCATTTCTGCCAGTTGGAGCTGCTGGGATGCAAAGTTTTGATTCAAGGGGGTCAAGTTGCTGGTTAATACCATCGAGTTGCTCCATCACCGGCTTGAGCATATCCGCTAAGATTTTCATGACATCTGCTCCCTCTTCTGGTTTTGGGCTCTGACTATCCGGCGGTTTCGTTTTAAACTTTCTTTGCGAGGCCGCCATTTTATATGATTGTTTACAGTTCCAAACCGCTTCTCACGGACTTGAAAAATCGCCATCTCAATGTCAACGCTCAAGTAAGTCTCTCAAAACAAGATCGCTGCTTGTTTTCCCCCCCTGCCCCTTCGTTTCGCTTATCTGTCCATTCGCGAAATGCACTCCGCTTTTCCCACAGGAGGGGGGTTAGTTCACTTTTAAATTATTCCGCTTATTTTGAACTCATATTCATTGTCAGTCATTTCTCTGACCTCGCTCACAGTGATCGATATTCTGCTCGATCTCCAGCGCTTGTCCCAGTCGAATCAGCTTGTGCCCAAGGGCCACACAGCGGCAGGACCACCGTGTTTTCTGATCTTGTTCTGTTTCTTTGAGTCGCTCCATGCTCAGGCTGGTGTTGACCTTTATGGTGTCTAGCCACCGTGTCCTTTGCCGGCCCAGTTTCCATTTGCCACTAACCAATTCGAGCATAATTGCTTTTTCTAGTGAGTTCTTCTGCATGACATGGCCGAAATAAGTCAGTTGCAGTTTTATGATTTCCCCTTCCAATGACATGTCTGGTTTTATGCGCTCCGGTCTAAATAAACCAATCTGAATAAACCAAATTAATCTAAATAAACCAAATTAATTTATTTGGAAAAAGCACCCACTGAGCTGAGTAGTGGCAATACAATTTTCCAAGGCACAGAAGCAATTTGCACAGAATGCTGAATGACTGTTATGTTCAATGGTAGTTGGAGTCCAAACAAAAATCTGCACGAGCATCAACACAAGGACTTAAATATATTGCCTTAAATACCATGAATAAGCTATTTACCTGTTTTGGAGAAGATAAGCTGGAGGATGAGAGGTCGCCTGGTGACTATTCCAGAACCACGAGGCAAGAAGTCTCTGCAATGAATAAAAAAACCCCAGCATTATTTCAACACTTCAATAGGTATTAGTCATGAAGATTACAGAAACGTTTTAAATCTTGCTGCATACTTGACACATTGCAAACAGGAAGAGATCGCCCACCAGTTCAAATGTCCTGCCCACACAGGACCAAATGGATTACAGAATTGGCACATTTTATAAGGGCATGGAAAAGAAGAAAAGGTAATCTTTATACATTTCCTGGATCGGTTGGAATTTTTTTTAACTTACACTGTTCTGGTGCCCAGGCACAACATAAAGCACACTTCAGAGACAGAATTTTTCCTGCCAGTCAGTCCAGCCAAGGACCAAAAAGAGCAAGAGTCCGGTAGCGCCTTAAAGACTAACAAAATTTGTGGCAGGTGAGTCACTGCTCACTATGGAAATGCCTTGCCTGCCACAAATTGTGTTAGTCTTTAAGGCGCTACGGGATTCCTGCTCTTTTCTACTGCTACAGACAGACTTCGCACAACTACCCATCTTGGTCTACAGCCTAAGACTGACAATTCTTGATATATGGATTGTGGCTCTCCGACAGGTATTCTGTCCTTGGGGGTCCCCCATGGGCAAAGGAATGCCCATGCACCTTTTCCCCAGCCAACATAAAGCATCACACCTCGATTAGTAACAAGAAACAAGCTGTATTTCATGTATTATGCAACTGTTCCTGAAAAAAAGAGCAGTTTCTGCCAAGAGCTCTCTCAGCCCCACCAACCTCACAGGGTGTCTGTTGTGGGGAGGGAAAGGGAAAGGAGTTTGTAAGCCGCTCTGAGACTCCTTTGGGTAGTGAAGGGCGGAGTATAAATCCAATCTTCTAATAATAATAACAACAACAACAACAACTTCATGGAACTATAGTGGAAATCATTACGATCTTCAGCCAAACCGATGACATGGTAAGAGCAGGCTTTCCCAAGCTCTAAGATACTTTGGACAACAAGGTAACATCTAAAGACATCCTAACACCCTGCATATGAAACTCCAAGCCACCTATATCCAGCTCCTGCCGAAACAGCTACGGCACAAGCGTGAGGACTAGAAATCCACTTCAAATAGTCAACAATTAAAAGTGCAACGGTGATTACAATGGAAACAAAAACGCCCACTAACAGCACCTCTTTTGTGTCCTTGTTGCGGGAACATGCCAGAAACGACAGTCTCCAACACAAAACGCCCAGATCCACTGGCAGAACCTGCCACCACGGATCAATCCACTCAAGCGCCCATTGATTAATCTGCCAATGGAAATCTGCAGCCCTTGTCAAGCGGTGACGCAACACGGGCTTTTCACAATTGGCTGAAGAACATAAACAGGAAGCATGAATCAGCAGCGGAGGCTGGGAGGGGGAGCTCCCTTTCATTGTGCTGGCACTACGCAGAAAAGCCTCCGGCGTAACTCTTGGACTACTATAGCAGCCAAGGTCAAACCTGGTTTGATAACAGAATTCAGGTGGGTGGCCGTGCTGGTCTGAAGCAACGGGACAAAGTCTGCGTCCCAGCGGCACCTTTAAGACCCACAAAAGTTTAATTCGTGAATAGAACCTTGACGGCCTTAAGGATGCCACTGGACTCAAACGTTGTTCTGCTTGGTTTGGTAATGCATGAGGATGCGGGAAGACACCCTTCCGGAAACAGAACTGGCATTCGCTTGGCACAGGGGCTATTTAATGGAGATGGAAACAAACACACCCGTCTTGCAAAAACCTGGAAATCGGGCCTTTGCTAAACATAACCCAAAATGCAGCATCAGGACACACTTGGACTGCTCAGGCACACTTATTAATACCTACCATACCCGTCTGCCAAGAGGGCCTTTGAGGAAGTTTACAAAATGAATACAACAGAAGGCTATACATTAAACAGCCATTCAGTTTAAATCTCTTTGTAAAAGACCAAAGAAAGCGGTGAAACAGACACACATCCCTAAATCTAGGCCAGGGGTTCCCAACTTGGAGACTGTGGAGCCATGCGCCTCCCCCCAAACACCTTTCCTGGGTGCCCACCAAGTGGTGTCAGAAAGCAGGCGGGCTCAGCTGGGGCTTTTGCCCAGCAACGCTTCTAATTGGCTGTGCAGATTTCTAAAGGAGAAGAGATTGGACTTATACCCCGCCCTTCACTACCCGAAGGAGTCTCAGAGCGGCTTACAATCTCCTTCCCCTTCCCAGAACAGACAACCCCGTGAAGCAGGTGGGACTGAGAGAGCTCTTTCGAGGACTGCTGGTGAGTGAACAGCTCTGAAAGAACTTGTGACTCAGGGGTCGTTTTGTAGAAAAAGAGCTAGGGGAACTCATTAGCATAACTCAATAGCATATGCCACACCCCCTGACATCACCGGAAGTGTGTCATAAGGCCACACACCCTGCCCCCAACGGTCCCGGCCACCGCTGCCGGCCTTGCAGCTCCACTGCCGAGCCCCATGAGGGGCCCGGCGGTGGACCTGCAAGGCCGGCGGGAGTGCAAGGAAGCCCTGCGAAGGCCCTCCCTGGCCCCAGGCAGGCAGGGGTGGGGAGAGGCAAGGAGGAAGCAACTTACCCTCCCTCTTCTCCTGCCTCCTTCCTGGCTGAATGAGGGCCGGAAGCGGGGCGGCCGGAAGCAGGGGGCGGGGCTTCGTCATGTGCCCCGCCCCCCGTACCTCACCTGGGGGAACTGCGATCCCCCGCGATCCTCCCCAAAATGACCTCTGGACTCACCCAAGGTCGCACCAGCAGCTGCATGTGGAGGACGAGTGGGGAATCAAGCCCAGCTCTCCCAGATTAGAGTCCGCGCTCCTAACCACCACACCAAATGTTGCCTTGGCGGTAGGTGCCACCACAGCACAAGGATCTTCACTGCGTGACTGAGGTAAGCTGCAGCGGCCATTTTGTGGCTGGCAGGCAAACATCCCTTAGCAATCCTAGCCAACCAGGGAATATATAGTTCACATTGCAACACCACGCAGCCAATCAGCTTTGGCTATACGACGACACCATCAGAAAGAACAAAGCCGTCCTGACCTGGATAGCCCAGGCTGGCCCAGTCTCATTAGCCCTCGGAAGCTAAGCAGGGCCCGACCCTGGCAAGTACTTGGAAGGGCGACCCTCCAAGGAATACCAGGGCTGGGATGCAGAGGCAGGTTACCAAGCCACCTCTCTGAAACGTCCCAGCCCCGCTAGGGGTCGCCAGAAGTCACGATGACTTCCACGCTCGCAAGCACACAAACACTAAAAAAATAATAATTGGAAAATGTAAGATGACTTCTGCAAAGCACTTTGAATGCTTTGAACACACACACACACACACACACAAAACTCACAAATATAGTAAAAAGGAAAAGAACAAACAAAGTCAACAGGGGACAATGTAAAGAAGTGGGAGAATATTCCCACAGGACTTGCTAAAGGTCTTTCCCGATCCTCTAAAAATTTTCTTAAACTTTCCTCTTGAGCCCTGTGAGCTCCTGGCCGGCATGTTCCACGGGTAAAGCAGCAAGGGCCTTTCTGCCCCACTTCTGCTAACCGTGCAACTACGTTTCTGGGGGAGACGACTGACTGGCATCCTAACAATGGTGAATGTATGAAGCTGCCTCATGTGGGAATTCCAGACCCTCGGTGGGGACGGGGGTCCCCCACTGCCAACCAGCTGGCTGGCGCAGAGGGAATCGCCCCAAAAACAAGGGAGGAACGGCTGACATTTCAGCAACGTGCCACGTGACTTCAACGTGATCCGGGAGTGATGTAGGTGTCTCGGGACCACGCTCTATTTTTTGGGCAAAACTCTATGGTAGAAGCTAATTCTACCATAGAGTTTTTGCCCCAAAACCAGAATGTCGCCCTGACATGCTGACGTCACTCCCAGGTCACACTGGAAGTCACGTGGGCACGTCGCTGAAACTTGCGAAGAAACTCCCAGCTCCTTGTAAGTTCACACCACCACCCCCGCGCGCGCATCCCGCGCCAGCTGCCCAGAGGGACCTGGCAACCCTGGTCTCATGCCAAGTCACACCTGGTGCCCTGTCTAGTCCAGGACTGTGACTAGCAGCAGCTCTCCAGGAGAAGTTCTTCTTCTTTTTCATATTTGGGATCCTTTAAATGGAAAAAAGGGCCACGATGGCTCAGAGGTTAAGACGCTGAGCTGCAGGCTGGAAGGTCGGTAGCTTGACAGTTCGAGACCCGAGTGCCGCGTGATGGAGTGAGCTCCTGTCTCTGGCCCCAGCTCCTGCCAACCTAGCAGTTCGAAAGCAAGGAACTGCAAGTAGATAAATAAGCACCGCTTCGGTGGGAAGGTAACAACGTTCCGTGCACCCCGGCATTTAGTCGGAAAACGTCTTCGGACAGCTCTGGCTCTTCGGCTTGGAAATGGAGATGAGCAACCCCCCCCCCCCAGAGTCGGATTCAACTGGCTTTCGAGCAAGGGAACCTCTAGCTTAAATGGAAAATACTGGTACTCAACATGAGACCTCCTACACGGGAAGCACATGTTCCAGGGCAGAGTTGCTAGATTCGAGTCCAGTAGCACCAAAACAAAGGGGGGGGGGGGGGGGGAGAGACAAGATTTTGAGAGTCAACGCTCCCTTCATCAGATACAAATAGGAATGGAGACCCATGAGTCCTTATATCCCCAGTCAGAAGGAAGGAGGGAGGGGGATCTCCCATGTCATTCCATTGCTGACCTAAGAGTGGCAGTCCTCAAACAGAGAAACCTCAAGGGGAGATTACAACACCACATTGCTGAACTGGAGTTCATTCACAAGTTCGGAACAGTGGATCCACCCAGGGTTGATTAGGGACATAGGAGTCTTACCTCATTACAGATGCTAAAATTTTTTTTGCCCCCAAGCATTTCCCCTCTGCTCTAATCAAGCTAATTACATTTTGCATTGTACCTCTGCATCCTGCATCCTGAGTTCTATCCTTGCCACCCTTGTCACAGATGATAGGACTCGGGGACCTCCATTCCTACCTGTATTTGACAACCGGGAGCTTTACTTCTCAAAAGCT